TATATATATATATATATCTCCTTTGTTTTAAAAAGAGAGAACAGCTTACAAGAAAATGCAGACAAAACTGGATGAAAACCAACGATTAGAACTGACATTTAAAATCGCTATGAAACATACAAAATAAAATAAGCATTTTATAAATGTATAAAATATAAATCAACAGAGGATTAAATAAAATACATTGATTGAAGCACAAACCATTTCTCACTTCCCCATAGCCTCATCTTGAACAATTCAACTTTTTTGAGTACAGAAGCCCCCCCACCCATCCCCACCCCTGGGTCATGAAAGGAAGTCATTCAAGCTAGACTTTTAATTCTCATGGACAACTGCCTCTAGCTGCCATGGTTGGAGGTGGACTACAACTCCCATCACCCAATCCAGAGCAGCTGAAAGTTTTTCTAAGTCAGGGAGAGTTGTTGTAGAACCCTTTGCTTCAGAATCTGTGTGCAGAAAATACTAAATACAAGCAGCTTAGTGTATTCAAGCATGAAAACAAACATGAGGCTGTTTGTTAAATCTAAATTCTGTGCTGAGATCCCTGCCAGAAAAAAGGGTCATTTTTACATCCACGTATTATGCACTTTGCCACATTTATTTTGCCTTCTTCTGCTAATCAACAGGAAGGAGCAAAAATCTACATTTAAATGCCGATTTAATCATCCCTCTGAGCTCTCTGCATTTTTTAAATAGGCATTTGCACATTTGTTCTTCAAGGCTATTTGCACACTTACCACATGGAATAGAAGCTTTGTCTGCCTTAAAATAAAGCCAGGTTCTCAAGACGTTGCAGCCTCAATGCTTGGTTAGCACCAAATGCTAAGCCAAGATTGTTAAACTATGTTTATTTTGACATCAAACTAAGTCATCATGGGTGAGTTTGTGCTTCACACCAAGACAAAAGCAGACAAACCACAGAATGGTTTAGCATTAGTTGTAAACCAGGCCATGAGTTCTCCTGATTCTCTCTCTCCTTCTCTCTCTTTCTTTCTTTTCTCATTTTTTTAAATGCCACAATTCTCAGGATAAGTTCTGGAATTCCAGATTCCAAAGTTCAACAGGCATTTGATGCAACTGAAGATACTGTTGCAGCAAATGAAGGAACAGGCTTCCTCCAGTGGTTGGGCTGGCCAACCAACAGGGCTGGCCCTTCCAAACCCCAGAGCTGATCCTTCCATTACCTTCAGCTTCTTCTCTTTCTCATGCACCACAGCACGGACAATGTTGAGGGAGGTATAGGTGAAGCTCAGCATGAGTAACAAGGGGAGCTGGTTCTGAATAGCCAAGAGGAAGAGGTCATTCACGTAAGGAGGATAGGGAAAGCGCTGAACAGTCACGGTCACCCGATCCAGCAGATCAGCAGTAGTTGTGTTGGCGTGATACTGAATGATTGCCTTATCCACCAAATGTTGCACTGCAAGGAAACCTTCACGGAAGTACCCTAACAAAACAAGAGAAAGGAGGCCTTGTGAAAACAGGTACTATGAAATTCAGGTGGCGGCATCTGATAGGTCTTCCCTGATCTTGGAAGTTAAGTGGGATCAGGCTTGGTTAGTGTTTGGAGGGGAAACTATATGAAATATCAAAGCTATAAGCTAGAGTAGTCAAGAGCACACCCCATAAAAAAGTGCATGATGAAATGTTTTCCTGCTTGCTGTCAAGAAAATGACACCATCCTGACTAGGTAGTCACCAGAAGCCTGGCAAGATGTGAAGGAGATGTCATTGTTTCAGTGTTTTAAAAGTTTATTTACTTATTTACTTTCTTCATTTGATTTATATCCCATTTTTCCTCCAAGAGTTCAAGGTAGCTTCATTGTATGTCTTCATTTTATCTCCACAACAGCAACCCAGTGAAGTAGGCTGGGTTGAGAGACAGCCGAATGATACCCACTCACTTTCCAAAACTAAGGGTGGAACTGAACCTGGATTCCCTTAATTCTAGTTCAACACTTTAGCCACATCATCACATTTTATGCCAACTTTGTGTTTCACAAGAATGTTCCTTGGGGTGGGGAGGGTATACAGCAAAGGTTCTAGAGGCTCGTTACAAGGCCTGTGCACTCTGGGAGCTTCAAGTAAATAAATATCTCATGCTGTACAGAACATGAAAGATCTCTGCCTAAGTCAGAGGTAGAAGACAGGTCCTCATGTTTCCAGGTCCTCCTGAGGATCTGGTGAACTTCCAACGTAAAGTCACCATTGGGAAAAGATTACCTGGTGTGCCTCCATCATCACTTTTTGCCTCTCGGGGTCCTGGTAACTGGAACAATGGGAAGAGGTAGTTTGTGTTCCAGTCTCGATCCAAGTTGGGGTTCAACCCTGTCCTCTCACTCTGAGGAGCATTTCTAGGGCTATATTTGAAACGTAGCTGGTAACTGACCTGCAGACAAATCATAACCAGACCAACATCAAGGACGTGAGAAGAGTCTATGACGTTCCTCAAGGGTGCATCTAAAGCAAGTTGCATTGAACCTGTTGCTGGCCTGGAATGATTAACACAAAATCCAGGCCAGGTGTTGTTAATAAATGTGTGTCCTCCTCTACCACGTTCTGTACATCTGGATGAGCATCTGCTTTGATGGCAGAGGGTCATAGTAAATATTTGGGGGGAGAGAAACGCTATTTTTAAAAATTATTTATTATTAAATTTGTATGCCGCCCATCTCCCCCCAGCGGGTGACTCTGGGCGGCTCCCAACAGGTGACTCTGGGCGGCTATGCAAAGCAGGCAGAGCTACAGTATGTCATGTTTGTGGATTTTCTGCCCCCCCTCCCAGTTTATTTTTTTCTTAAACTAAGTTAAACCTCATGGTTTATACCATGATTTCCAGGTATTTCCTGGAAATCATGTTACCTATTTGCAGTGATTCCCATTAGGAGAAGGCTCTAGGAGCCAGAAAGGATTCAGGGAGCCATTATCTACAATAATTATAATAATTATTATTAATAATTAGCTAAGGGTTCGAGCTGGAAAATGGAATGTATGGAAAACATAAAGGATTTGAACATGGTACATAAGCATCCATGCATATTTGTAGGCACCATATTTTACGTGCTTACTAATATGCCTCGATGCGTATGCACCAGAAATAACGTGCAAATGCCTTACATTTTCCATAGGAATTCCCCTAGACGTATACATCTCCATTCAAACATCTAGCCTTCTTCATTCCTGGGTAAGAGACTATCATGCACCAACTTGAGAGCTGAGAAGGAATGCCTGAGGAGACCAATCAAGAAAACATCATACCTGGAGTGGCAAGGGATCCTGACTGTTAGCCAAACAGTTCTCAAAAACCAGTCCTGCCAGAACATTGCCTGAATGGTTATCAAACCTGATGTAGTGTTCAAAGTCTTTTTCTGATGGAAACCCTCGAGCTATGGAGTGAAACAGAAACCACACAGTGAAAAGGAGGCCCCTCCAAGGAAAACATTGTCATCCACCTAACCCAGCAGAGGACAAACTCAAATCAATGATTAACATAGCAATGGTTTCAGAATCACATAATTCAGTAATTGTATTTGGAGTATTGTAAACAGCTGTTGCTGTATCATGCTGGCTTTGCAGGTTGCTCTACAGGATTTGGTTCTGTTAGGTGTAATGCTCTGATGCCTATCTGATTTATTTATATTTATATTTCGAATTTAGACACCGCCCATCTCATGAGGAAGTGACTCTGGGCGGTTTACAATAAATTGAAATTATTGAAGTTAGAATGAGTCTACAGCACCTCAAACAAATCACTTGAGGCACAAATGATCAGGCTCAAATTATCCTACTTTGAACACATGCTGGGAAAAATGGGAGGAAAGAGAAGAGGAGGATGACCAGCAGCAAGGTGGATGGACTGAATCAGTGGTGATGAGTGCACCATTGGGAGACTTGAAAGAATAGGTTAGTGCAGTGTTTCTCAACCTTGGCAACTTTAAGATGAGTGGACTTCAATTCCCAGAATTCTGGGAGTTGAAGTCCACTCATCTTAAAGTTGCTAAGGTTGAGAAACACTGGGTTAGGGATAGATCATCATGGAGAAGATCCATCTAGGTGGTCACTAGAAGTGGAAAATAATTTGATGGCACATAATCAATCAATCAATGGTTCCTTTTCAGACTGAGACTTTTTATTAAAAGGTATCAGCTTTCATGAACGACAACTCATTTCATCAGATACGTAAAGAGGAAGGAAGGTGACCTTGACGGAAATACACAGGAACTGTTTCCCAGGCCAAAGGGGCTAAAATATTTTTTTTGAGTCCAGGACAATGAGATAACATTCAGAAGTGGCCCAGGCAGATGCTATCCTAACTCACTAGATTATGATAGAAGGAGAAGGAGGTCCAGCACAATCAGGCTTGCAAGACTCTGTTCTTATAGCCAATCTCAATAAAGATAGTTTTAGCCCTCCTGTAGATTTGATTTCCTGGTTTGGTTTACCTAGTGGGGCTGATAGATTTCACCTGGGCAACGTGGAAGGTTTGATACAAGAGTGAAATAAGGTTGCTCTGTACAGTACTCATTGTGGTTTCAATAAAATAAGACACGGATAACTGCTTCAACTGTAACTGACTTGCACAGGCATGTTCACTCCTCTATTAAATCAACCTTCCGCAAGATAGCTCGTAATACCGGGAGTCCCTGGGTTAAGAATATCCAGTTTACAGACATCCCATAGTTAAGAACGGAGCGTACTGTAGCAAAATTCGAGTTAAATCCACAATGATTTGAGTTCATTACACAGTACTATTTATACAGCATGATACAATAATATTGATCAGGCTTATGTACAAATGTGACTTAAGGGCAGACCTTGGGAATGGAACTCGTTCTTAAATTGGGGACTACCTGTACTTTAAACTATGTTTGAAAGAATCTGGGCAATTCCAAAAAGAGACAGTTAGCTGCCTCCAGACTGATAGTTAGTCTCCAAGGCTTAAAGCCATTAGAAACTACAATGAGATAATTTTGCATACCTACATCCATAGCACGTTTGAGAACCTTTCTAGGTACATTGCATTGACTGACGACAAGAACTCTGCTGAAAGGCTGTATCTCAGCAGTGTGTTTGCTGAGGCTTTCTTCCAGGCCAAACAATATTTATTAAGGGCTGTTAGGGGAGCCAAGCTAAAACTGAAGAACACCAACCAAGCATGAGTCTCCATTCTTTGAGGGACATTGATTAGAAGAACCTCAAAACTATTGCGCCATTTCTCTGTGTCCATGAAAAAATGATTGGTCACTATTTAAAACACTTTACAGTGGAACCTCGGTTTACGAACTTAATTCGTTCCGTGACTCTGGTCGCACCCTGAATTGGTCG